CACGAGAAAAAACGTTTGTGAAGAAAATTGTTTGCAAATTCATGCATAACTTAAATATATTTTAATATTGGGGGCTATTAATAGAACTTTTACTAACTTGATATGTTCAAAAATATCAGAAATTACTTTTTATTTTTTCTATTTATTAAAATATTACCTAATTTTCTAATTTGCAGTTGAAAACGCCAAATTACTTAACCACATTTTTGAAATAAATTAGCATCATCCAAAAAGTCCTCTAAAGTCACCACAATTTAATTAAATCATTTCAACATAGTTACTTGCCTAACTATGTTTCCCTTTTGTAATTATTCATTTTCATTTAGATTTTCTTAGTTTGTTGTATGCATGTTCACGTTTTTCATTCAGTTTTCCGTTTTCCCTTCCATTTCATTTCGATTTACTTTTGCCGATTGCCTGCCTGCCTGACTGTTAATGGCATTAATTTCATGCATTTCTAATAACATCAACGTCCCATTAAACTCTTAATTGAAGTGACAGAAAATGAGCGGTGCCTGGTCGGGTAATGCTGCAGTGAGCAGTGGCAAAAACAACAACAAATAGAGTTTAGTTAACATTAAATTACAATGAAATTTAATTTTATAGATAAGTGTGGACACATAAATTACGTAGGATAACTGTTAAGAGGAGATTGCTGTTTTTGAATAAATTGGAAATAGAGATTGCCAAATTTGAAATCTATTTCATGGGCTTATACTAAAATTAATATATAGCACGAATAATGCAGCCTAACTATTCCTCAAGAAGTTACTACGAGATTTCTTCAAAAAGTTCCGCAAATTTTTTATATAATTTTTGGATTTACTGTCATCTATTCGACTAAACTGTTCATTCATATTTGGTTAATATATTTTTTACTTAGATGCGGGGTTAAGTTCGTACCAATATTTCGTTAATATTGGATTCAGTGTGCTGATATATGTAGGTGCTAACTATTCGTATTGAAGTCGAACACCATTTTAATTCGATGGTGAATATTCATTTATTATTTTTTTAAATAATATAAAATGTTTCTACTAGCTTCAACAAGCTTATTTATCATAACTTATAGGAATCCAATATGACATCCCTATTTTTTGTTTTTCAATTATGCCCTTCCTTTTTTGCTAACCGTCATATACACCTTGGGTGTCTCTGCAATTGTACACCCAAAGTGTATGCGACAACAAAATCTGGTAACTGTAGAAAAATAGCTCAAGTACCTAACAAAACTAAAGTGCATTGAAGTACAATGCAGTGTGACGGTACAATAGAGAGAATTCATAGCACACCCAAACAAACTGGCTTGGCAAATAAAAGGAAACAAAACAAACCTGAGGAAGAAGAAGAAAAAAACCTTGCAAACGGCAAGGGAAACACTTTCGCCAGAGTGTTTAATGAATGACCTTTAACACACTTTTAATTCATGAAATTGTTTGGAAGATGCCAACAACATTAGAAATACTACGGGAAGGCAAGGAGGCGGCAGGCGTTTAGGCCGCTTGGCTGGCTCAAAGGCTAAATGCAAGCCACAGATTGAAACAGATTTCGTTTGGTGGGTTGTTAGGAATTTGTTTTTTGTGGTAGACTAAAATAAAAGATTCACAAAAAAGACACACAAAACTACTCGCTTTCAAAGATTGTTTTTCGGTGGTAAAAGGACCAGCAAATAATTTTCATAAAAGCATTGGTGGTTGTGCATGTTGCAAATGAAAATGGAATTTCTGCGGGCAGTTTAAACTAAATGCAGTAGCAGTTGCTCCGTAACCTCATTTTCATTGGAAAACATTTAAATATTTTGTGGGCTTTTACTTTCGTACTGGTGAATTTTTAAGGCATTAGATTGGATAAAGATTTTAGATTTTGTAGTCATAGAAAATAGAATTGGAAATTTTGGATTGCACCAGCAGATTACATCTGAAATAAGTTTCGAATTAAAAATTAATTTTAATTTTGTCTGTTTACTTACTAATGAAATAGTGAATATATGATCTTAAAATGTAAGATTTATAAAAAACGTGATAAATTTAAATCTTAAAAAATTGTTGATGTACTAATTTTTTATCTCAATTTTGGATAAATTTTGACTTTTTATTAAAAAATAAATAACCAGACATTTTTAACACCTGTTTAAAAATATATAATCTGCATAAAAATATCTTATAAATCGCCGACAAATAATTATTAGCGATTTGTTTCACACCTACTAACCCTCAACTGTCACGGCATAATATTAAAGATTTTGCCGAAAACCAAATTTACATAACTAATTTACAAACAATGGCAAAAAATAAAATAACAAAACTAAACAATAAAGCAAAACGAAAATTAAATTATTGGCACGTTGATGGTTTGTTAAGCATAACAAATTTTTAAAATTTTGTTAAACAAATCTTTGCTTAATTGCCATCACAAATTCCTATGTTGAGAAAAAATGCATTTGCAGGTGTAAAAAAGAGAAAAAAAGGTCATTTCTTTCGTCTGATATTGGATTTATAAATATTGAAAATTGTGACCATTTGTGGGGAGTTACCAGAACAAGTGGCCCAATGGGATCCATCTCCGGATTTGATCTAACCTTGGTAGGTTGTAAAAAATTTTGTTCCAATCGGATGATATTATAAAATTAATTATCCGCAATATTTTAAATATTTTATGGGGAGGTACCTGAAGAATTGGACCGATATATTTCATCTTCGAATTATTACGATGTGCAAAGTTTGGATGAAATCGGTTACTACCATCGAGAGTTATCGTGCGCAGCACCCGGCCAGAGAGGACTAACGGACATTTGTAAATTGACTCCAAATTGTCTGTTTGAGTCGATTTGTGAAAGCTCACATTGTCATGTATGTGTGTATGGTGTATCACTCATAATTGATAATCCTACGTTGCTAGAGTGGAATAGTCGTTGCATGATCACTTTTGCGTAAAAGTAGGGACCACGTGCTTTGCATTTTTTTTCAACCAACAATTGTTGTTGGATTTGGCTCGAGCTGATGGGCTATACCCATCCACTGTCTGCTGTGACCCATCTCCAAAGCACCGCGTTCGTCTTTCTTTTTTTTTTTAATTTCTATGCACCAGTCGACACGAGCCTTTTTTAGTGTTTGTCAACCAGTGAGTGGAGCAGTATAGCCCAACTACCACCGATCGTTCAGTTTCTGTGGGTCAATATTTGGAGCCTGGGTAACATTTCGCGATATTTGCACTGATTAGAAGTCAAAGCTCTTCTACGGAATCATTTGACCCGCTAACTATTGACCTTTATTATCATTACAGCCATTCGAATTAGTTGGTAAGAGTGTTGGTATAATATGTTTATAATTGTAGTGTCTATAGCGACTAAAAACAGACAAAAATAAAATGTCATTTGACCATTTTCTTTACCATAACCCGAACGTCATACAAAATTCCCCAGCCATCAGCGCTACATTTTCGCTTTCTAGTGTGGTAATGGTAATATAAAACTATATAGACCCCGGTAAAGTTTAAGTATAACATTCGCACCCGGTTACGTACATCAATATAATGGCTATCCATTTAAATGTGACCCTCTAACAGTCATGTTTATTCCATGGTTCAAGTCATAATTGTGGCCTCCAGAGTGACCAATAAACCAGTTCACCCCCTGAATATGTACGGATCATTACCAAAAACTGTTGCCGTCTTCCTTGGCCAGAACCGGTTCTACATGCAAAATTTCGTGACGATTGGTTCATAGCTGTCTATACAATTTATAATTGACAGACAAAGGACGCACATACATGTAAAGATCAACTCAACTAGTCGAGATATGACAATCGGTATACTAGAAGGTCCAATATGTCGCGGTGTTACAACTCTTGAGGCCGCACAGAGGTACAATACCGTTACAACATAGTTGTGTAGGGCATAAAAACATTTTACGCTCATGCGTTAAATACATACGGGTAGACCTTCCCGAACCACAGGATGGTATTATCACCTCAATTCCTATTCAGCACAATGCCTAACACATGTGCAGAATGTGGACTAGGAACAAGCGACACATGGCATCGTTGAAACTGTCTAAGCCAACTGACCTGTCTCCAAATTCTCTGTGGGCCCGACCCTATTGCCGTTCCTACAACAATACCATAGGTTTTTCGGATACGTAGAGCCTATCACTTAACAACCTTTGATAGACATGAAATCCATAAAATATGTCATGCGCTAATATGGGAAAAAGCAAAACTTCTGTGGTAGCATGAACATTTAAGAACTGATTAACTATGGAACGAGGCCCTCCAAAAAGAGCTTATATGAGCAGATTATGATATGTCTAAAAATGTTTATACATGAAATATGTTACTATCTGGATTTTTATAACCTGATCGTGTACATGTCATAAAAATCAATAAAAACTTTTTTAAAAAGTATATAAAGTTTTGCTTATGTATAAGGAAAAGTTGACATATAACCTATTTACTATTCAACATATGTTTGAAATAATTCAAAACAATATTAAAATATGGCTTTGATCTAAGATTATGAGCCTTTGAGTCTATACAGAGTTAAACAATAAATCAAATCGTTTGAAAACCAAGTCAAATGCTTTTGGAATTAATGAACATAAGGGTAATAGTTTTTAATATATCTAAATGCGGAATAATTTATTAGGGTTAGCAGTGGAATCTAAAAAAATTGATGGATGTAGAGATAGAATATGCTCTACAGAAAAACTTCTATAAAAGAAGGACCTTCTACGTGTGGATTATAATATATACATTCTAAATTCTACAATTCCTCTATAGACGGAAGGAACTGGACTTTTTTTAGCCTTATAAAAGGTTAAAAACTTAAAACCCTTAATGATCTTCAAAAGCTATAATACGTTCTTCAGATCGATTATTTCTTTTTCAAAAATGTATATGTTAAAATATGGTAATTTTTGAAAATTTTAATTTCCCATCCCTGCATTCAAAACCCAAAATGAACCAACAAATATTTCAACTATATTATTTTACAAAAAAACTTACCCAGCTGGATAGGCCAGTAGGCCACTGATGGGTGAACAATCCAATGCTGCATTGCTGCATACTGTGAGGCCTAAAACTTTTTTAAGTTTTATCTGGAAAGGAGAAAAAAGAACATAAAAGATTTTTTAGTAAACAATACACTGTTTATATTTCAAACAACAAAAACAAAAAATATTTTTTATCTCATTTTGTCAACCAAAACTTGTTCTTTACTGCTACTTCATTTGGCCTTGTAACTGAGAGGGAGGGAGGTGGTTTTTGCACAACTATTGTTGTTTATAGAAATAATTTACACTTATTGTTAGAAAATAAACTATTTGCGTTGTTTGTATTTTTCTTTTGCACATTCTATACGTTATGTCATGTCATTTGCATATCAAAATATTGAAATTTTTCGTTAGCTTCACATGTTTTCAAAAAATATTTATTCATTATTTTTTAAAATATTTTTTGTTGTGCATTTAAGGTCGTTGAAAAAAAGTGGAACCAGTTGTGTTCGTTAACACGTTTTTTTTTCATTTTTGTTTGTTTGTTTTGTATTTCAAATAGAAAAAAATATATAAACAAAAATTAAATCTTTTTGATGCCAAATATCGATTCATGTTTTATGCATTACACAGAATTTTATATTTTTGCTTTTTGTATCAGAATTTTAAATTTTGTCTGGCTGGTACGCTTTCGGAAAAAAATGCATGTGTACTTGTAGAGAAACGAGTTTTATACCCAGAAATATTTTTCGGGGTTGGTTTTTGTATGTCTAACAACATAAAGCTTCAAAAATTTTTGTTCGAATATTCTCCATAATATTTTCACCATAGACTGTACCAATGAATATTTATTTTTCATAATTTGTTTTCCACACATTTGATGGTTGTAAACGTGCAAATAAACATTAATGATGCATGTGTGTGTGTGTGGCAGTTCAACAATTGAGGTTAATAGAAAAGACAGACAACGAGTCGTTGAACAGACAGGGTGGCAAATTTGCACGCAGGCTGCTGCTGGAGTGCAGAGCAAATTTATAAACTATAAATCGTTTCATAGACATATCATCCGTCTAATGATGGACAGATACAATGCCATCACACAAACACACACACAGATATGTCATGCATATTAATAATTGTTTGTTATATCGTACGGAAAAAAGAGTGAAAAAAGGCATTATAATTATTACAATAGTGACAACAACGTGGGCAAAGACAAAAAGGCCTTTTTTCATTTCAACATTAAATGACTTTTGTGATGTACATGCGGGCCTTCTCTCTTTCTCGTCTGCAATTTTTGCTGATGTGCCATTAAGTTTTGCTATTTGCATTTTTTTGTCTTGTACAATGTCAGTGAATGTGTTTTTATGGTTTTATGGCAAATGTGATTAATCATAATATTAACTATTTTGTTAATTAAAGCCTAATGAACGTCATGTTCATGATTTTGAATATTGTATTTTTTCTTCTCATACAGCCATGGTAATTAATTCATGTGAATGATATTACGTTTTTGCGGTATGTTTTGTGTACCCTACATCACGCTATATACACAAGCTGGTTCATATGTCCCAAGTCTTAATTACTATTTCATATGTTGTTAGGGTATTATAGTTTTGTGCAGTCCCATGTGTTTGTAACGCCGCGAAATATTGGTATAAGGCCCACCTTTATGTATATCGATCGTCATATCTCTACTAGCTGAGTCGATCTAGACATGTGTCCGTTCGTCTGTCCATTATAATTTGTAAACACGATACAGGTCATAATTACGGACCAATCTTCACGAAATTGCTCATGAAATCTGGCCAATAAAGACCCCTATTGTTTTTGATGAAGATCGGTTAATACTTTGGGGATGAAATGGACCAAATACTTAATTTTTGTCGGTTTTTCTGGTCGTTCCAGAGGCCGCAATAGCGCTGATTCCAGCCCCAATTATAAGGCACGGTGAAGGAAATCTGGACAAGTAATTAGAAGGGTTGTACTGAAAATTAGTAATATTCGGAAAATATGTCAGTGTAAGGAAGAGGTGCTAATGTACATATATGAATCTGGCAAGATAGTGTAAATATCACGAAATATTGCCCAGACTCGGAATAAACATCCGCAGAAAGTTAGAGTTCCGTGATAGTTGTGTAGGGTATCGTATGGTCGGCCCGTCTGACTATACTGCTTCGCTCACTGGTTTTTCATATACTTTATCATAAGATTACATACATAATTAACTAAAAAACATAAATAAAATAATAATGGTATTTCCCATATTGCTTATCTTTTCCCTTTTGGAATTTCTCTCAGAAATGATATTCATATTAAGATATTGTGACTAAGCAATTTTTTTGAAGTTTTATGATTCGCAAAAAATGAAACTTTAACTTTGACCATGAACTTGTCACAACAATAAATGAAGACTTAGTTAAATAGTATATATAAAGTTTTTTTTTGTTTCATATGTTTTTTTTTCAAAAATTTAAGAAAGTTAGATTTATAAACTAATTACTATTCAACACATGTTTGAAATAATTCAAAACAATACTAAAATATGGCTATGATCCAAGATTGTGCGCCTTTGAATCTATACACAGATTTTGAACAATAAATCAAAACGTTTGAAAACCAAGTCATATGCTTTAGGAATTAATTGCGGGCGTTAGGGTTGACAGTTTTGATATATCTAAATAGGGAATCAATTAGATATAGGGTTTACCGTGGCATGTAATGTGATAAGCTTATTACGAATTGATTTCCGACAGAATGATTTCCGACAGAATGATTTAAAATCATTGATTCATATAAGTACATTAGAGTTATGACTTTGACTTTTTTTCTCAATTATAAAAAAAGTTCACGCTGAAACTATTTTTTACAAAAAAAAAATCATTTCAGAAACATTCACGAGAAGCCACATTACCTATGAACAAAATTAAATATTGGTCATAGAAATCGATGAACACCACTTCGTTTTATTATGTTCAGGTGTCTGATTTTGAATCGAGGAACTCTGACATTTTTATGATTCCCATCTATTGTAGCAGAGGAGGATTAGCTGCCTAGTCAAACATAAGTAGGCCAAGCACAGCTAAAATCAGGATGATGTTATCACCTCAATTCCAATTCGGAACAATATCTACCAGATGTACAGCATGTGATCTAGGAACACGTGACACATTGCACCGTTGCAACTGTCTGAGCCTACTGACCTGCCTCCAACTTCTCGGTGGGCGCAAACCTTACAGATTGCAATATTCATGAATTTATATATAAAGGGACCAAAACCGGAAAACTACAACAAACCATTTCATATCACAGGCAAATATGTCATGGGCTAGTAGGAACAGGAACGTTTAAGAAGTGATTAACCATGGAGGCCATCTAAAGAGCAGACTAAAATATATGTCTAAAAATGTCAATTGAAAACAACACTAACATAAGATATAATGCAAGATTATGCGCATTTGAGCCAATACAGATTTAAACAATAAATTCTGGAAGACAACGAGCGCTCTAGAAGACGGGAAATTTTGATTCAATGAAGGGATTAAAAACTGAGAAATTAAGTTAATTATGATGCGGTGTTAGATGCGTTTAACCTCTATGGATAAGGGAAACAGATTGCTGAATAGATGACATGTATTTAATATTACCTTCGGTAAATAATTTATAAATAATGTGAATAGCAATTGTTGAAGTAGAACAATATTTCCGCAATCCATGCTGATTTTCGATAAAACAGACGATTTCAAAATATACTAATATGTCGGTATTTTTGACAAATTTGTCAAACAATTTTAGATATTAGAAATCATTTCTATTTGTATATATCATTTCTATTTCGTAATTCTGAAACTTGACACTTAATATTTGGGGTCCTCTAAACTACTCATTTCCTACGAAATCCCTTATTAAAATTATTGGTTAGTAAATCAAATTTTTTTCTGTATTCATGATTGATTTTGAACCAATCACTTTAAATGTCACCGTAACTACGTCTCAATATCATTCAATAGTTTCAGATTATATTTTTTCTCATTAAAATTCTCCGATTTTATGTCTTTATTTATAATTCTGTTTACGAGTTGTCCACAAAATGCTAATTAACTTTTATTTCCTACAACATTATTAAAAGTTAATTTACAATTAATAAATTTAAAAAAATAAAAATAGAAACGAAACGAAACAAGCTTTTTAATAGTTATATGAGATATTTATGTTTGTATATGTGTAACACTTAATTCAAGTAAACATATTTATTTTATAAAATGATATAATATTGAAATTGTAATGAAGCCAATTCCATTTGATTCGATTATCAAAAGAGGAGAAGAGTTAGAAAGGAATTTTAGAACAGGATATATCTTTGTAGTTGTCTTTCTTGACAAATTAATGCTGAAAATGTCTATTATTTAAGAAATATTCAAATTTCTCTTAACGATATGAAATATTTTCAATTTTTATATATTGCCACTAATATAAAAAACTATATATTTCACACTTGAAAATGCAAAAACATCGTTATCTGTCTTTTTCTACCCACAATCTAATGCAGATTTCCTTAATAACATTGTTAACTTTATGGGCGAATAAAACTATCGATTTGTAAATAGTTGGAAAGTTTGACACTCACACTCCCATTCACAATAACTTGTTGGTGTTGTTATTTATTTTTTTTTTTTTGCAACTACCTGTTTGCACAAATTTAGTTGAAAAAGCAATTAAAAATTTTGTTTGATTGCAGTGCCTAGGGTGCCGAACGAACAAAATGACAATGTTTTATGAGGTTGTAACAAGTTTTTTTTGCAGTAGTTGTTGTGTTTATCGTTTGATTTTTTAAATACGTCTTGTTTACGATTTTCCAACGTTGTTAACGCCCTCTAGTTGACGTAATTGGCTTTGCATCAACATTGTTTTAAATACTCTCAAGATCAAGGTGATTTGTAAATACATAGCGCATTTGGTTTTAGATCGGCAGCACAATGCCGTTTATTGTGGTATATTTTTTGTTTGTTTGTTTGTAATGATAATTGGTAGTGAGGAGGAAATGGTATTCTCTTGTTCAAAATGCACAGTGGGCTAATACTGTTAAAAATAATTATTAAAGAAAT